CCCAGCCGAGACACAACCAGGGCCTGTGATGCCTCTGTCCCCTCCCTGCCCCCACCATCCCACTCTGCCCCCTCTGCTCCCCAGTCAGACACACCTTCTTGAGCGCCAGCACCTGCACGGCACAGAGCTCGCTGAGGCACTCCGCGATCTTCTCCAGGGGCAGCCGGGCCAGCACCAGCGCCGTCCCTGCGGGAAAGGGCAGGCTCAGAGCAGGGACACAGCAGGGAGATTCCTGAACTGAACGCCTCCAGGGCGGGGCAGGGACTGGGAGGGGTTTCCCTGCGCCTGAAACTGCCTCTGGTTGAACCAGAAGGGGTGGGAAGTAAGGAGTGATGCAATCCCCAGGGACAACCTAGCAGCTCCCCCGGGGCTCAGCATCCACAGGCAGCAGTTCCCAAGGATACTCCAATCCCAGCAGTTCTCCTTGGAGAACATCAGGACAGACCCTGTGAGCACAGGGCTCAGCACCCATGGACATCCCAATCCCAGCACATCTCCTTGGGGCTCAACACCCACAGGCAGCAATCTCCATGGATAACCCAATCCCAGCAGATCACAGAATCAGCCAGGTTGGAAGAGACCTCAAAGATCATCGAGTCCAACCCCACCATGGTCACTAGACCATGGCACTAAGTGTCACATCCAATCACACCTTGAAAACCTCCAGGGATGGTGAATCCACCACCTCCCTGGGCAGCCCATTCCAAGGCCTGAGCACTCTCTCTGTAAAAAATCTCTTCCTAATATCCAACCTAACCCTCCCCTGGCAGAACTTGAGTCTGTGCCCTCTTGTCCTGCTGCTGGTTGCCTGGGAGAAGAGACCAACCCCCACCTGACTCCAATCTCCTGTCAGGGAGTTGCAGAGGGTGAGAAGGTCTCCCCTGAGCCTCCTCCAGGCTAAACAATCCCAACTCCCTTAGCCTCTCCTCCCTGAGGCATAGTGGGACAAACCCTGTGAGAGGACAGGGCAGAGCACCCACACAGAGCAATCCCCAGGGATACCCCAATCCCAGCAGTTCCCCTTGGAGAACATCAGGACAGACCCTGTGAGCACAGGACCAGACCCACCCTTGAGCAGCCCCACGGCAGCCTCGGGGGACAGCGTGAAGGAGTCGAGGGAGCGCGCGATGTCCAGCAGCCCCGAGAAGTGCTGAGCCATGTGGTCACGGCACACAGAGCAGATGTTGTGGATTGCCTTGGCTGCCGCCGAGGCCAAGCGCCGGTCACACAGCCCCTTCATCAGGTACCCCAGCACGGGATCTGTGGGACAGGGGTCAGGGGGGCACAGGGGCATCAGGTACCCCAGCACGGGATCTGTGGGACAGGGGTCAGGGGGGCACAGGGGCATCAGGTACCCCAGCACGGGATCTGTGGGACAGGGGTCAGGGGGGCACAGGGGCATCAGGTACCCCAGCACGGGATCTGTGGGACAGGGGTCAGGGGGGCACAGGGGGATCAGGTACCCCAGCACGGGATCTGTGGGACAGGAGGTCGAGGGGGCCTGGGGGGCACAGGGAAATGGGGTACCCCAGCACGGGATCTGTCAGACAGGGGGTCAGGGAGTCTGGGGGGCACAGGGAGGCAGGACTCACCCAGGAACTGCGGGTTCCTGTCCACTACCTCGCTCATCTCCCCCACCAGCTCGATGCTGGTGTAGCGCACAGCCGTGTGCACGGTCTCAGGCAGCCTCACCACTCCCTCCAGCACCTCCACCAGCGTCGGGTTGTTCTCCCTGTGGAGAAGTGGGGCTCAGCTCCTGCCACAGAGCCCTGCAGGGGCTGCTGGAGCCAGGATGGGCACCCAGACAGAGCACAGAACACCGAACAGCTCCACCGACAGAACTGGGGCACGGGAACACAGTGAGGACACGGTGGATTCAGTCCAGGGGACACAGACACATCCCTGTCCCAGCTGTTCCTGAGGAACAAAGGGAATTAATCCCCTGGGAATCGCCTGTTCCTGTGTGGCAGGGTGGGGGAGAGTCCAGAGCCCTGTGGGACACACTGATGGGAGCAGTGTGCAGTGCTCCAAGGCAGCACTCCCAGGGACAGGAGACAGGAAAAACAAGTGGGAGCAGCCTCAACACGGAGAACAGCAGCTGGGGATGGGGAGGGATGGAGGTGACTCCCCCAGGCTCCCAGGGAAGGGAGGGATGGCATTCCCAGCCCAGTGGAGGTCAGCCAGGCTGTCCCACTGCTGGCAGCACACAGGACTCTGCACACTCACTGCCCTGGCTGTTGTCTATGACTCCACTGGAACTAACAGGAGAGGAAAAACAGTGATTTAAACTTCACTAAAGATACCTGGGAAAACTCCTCTGCCTGGGGCTGGAAGGATCTGGATGCAGAAGGATCCTCAAGGAATGGTTTGGGTGGGAAGGGACCTTAAAGCCCATCCAGTCCC